TAATAGAAAGCGTGACAATTTAAATCATAATTTTTTAAATTCGATTTGAATGCTGACAGTGAGGGCAGCGAGTTTACAATGTGGTCTGGAAGTGAGTTCCATACATTAATAATTCTTTCGCTATAAAAAAATCTTCTACTTTCATTAATGTATTTAATACATGGTGTAAACTTTTGGGACCGAGTTTTAGTAAAATATTTCGAATTGGAAAAAGTGAAAAAATCTGAAAATGGTAAATCAACAAGATTATATACAGTTTGATAAGTCAAATAAAGTTCAAATATAACTCTGCGACACTCAAGAGATTATAGTTTAAAACAATAAGTCTTGATCAGTAATCAGTGTATGTAATATGACACCTTTTGCAGACAATTCTGGTAAAATATTTTTTATCTTTTTTTATGCAAAATATATCTTTAAAAAGACGAGGGCTTCAAACTTTGTAAGCTTTTAACAAAATTTGAGAATTGTTAAGGATAAAGGATTTTAAAAGTAAGTAAATGCGAGAGTATGCTATGCTTGAAATACGAGAGCAGTGATTAGAGAACTTTGTATTAAAAAAAAAGGTGATTCCAATCTCCTGAATTGATTAAACAGTTTCAATATTGATAACGCAGTTTAATGAATAAAGATGAGTTTGTATGTTATATCTTCCGTACATAAGTGAAAACTTTTGTTGGTTGCTATTTTTAGTTGCCAATCATTGGACTATGCAAAGATTTTTTTTAAAGTGTTTACAAGATCAAGGTATTGTAATCAATTCTCAATTGATACAACTTAATGCCACAATCTCCATCAGTGCAATCAACTATGTCTAAATACATTCACAAAATATAAGTCCTTGTACAGTTTCTTGTGGCATTCCACTTTTAACTTAAGTGGACTTAGATGCTATTGATTATTTAAAGGTTGACTTAATGCTGATCGATATATTAAAATTTTAGATAATTGTCTTCTTCAATGCTTATTTGAGAAAGGTGGCAAAATATTGAAATGCTTTTTTTTATATTTTTTCTTTTGTAAATTATTGTTTTAAAATACTTTTTAAAATATATACTAAACTTTACCAAACTTTTTTTAATTCAAATATTATGTTTCATTATATTTTACTTTTAGTATTTAAATCATTATAATCAAATCATTATTTTGGATTTTAATAATGCATATAGAAAAAAATTCAAAGCATTTTAGTTTTCTTTGAATTAATATGTTATAAAAAAAATCAGTGATCTTTAAAAGTGATAGTTTAAAGCCAATTTCATGTATATATATTTATATTTAGGCCAAGATTCACAATCTCCTCATACACAAACCACATCAAAGTTGGAATGTT